CTGTAGCAGTTACCTGAATGGAAGGTTTTGGATGCCCGAGGATACATACTGGATGGAGTCACCGTCAACGACGCGGAATTCTTCGGGCTTCTTAAAGGCTTGCAATGTCTTTGGAAAGAGGAATTCAGGACATAGTCGTCGTACGTGACTCGAGAATTGTGATTCAACAAGTTCAAGGTCTGGTTAATTGTAACCAACCTAATCTCCAAAGGAGGCTAGCTGAATGTGAAACCCTGAAGAAACGTTTCCATACGGTTCGATTGGTACACATGAAGTGCGAGTTCAACCAGGCCGCTGATTACCTGACCTCGAAGACTCTTGTCCAAGGTAAATCCTGGATTGTTCAGGATGATCTCGAGAGACAACACCTGGAAAAAATAGTGTCAAAGATTCGCGAACAGTTGGTGAGGTCGTCAGAAGGCACCGACACTCGAGTTGACTGTGGAAACCCCATACAAGACTCTGATGAAGAAGATTGCAATTCAGGAACCAGACATGGTCCTAACCCTGAATGTGCCCCTCTATTTTCTGCCGCCCGAGTTATGGCTGTATTCACAAGGTCGCGAGCTCAAGAAGTTGACGACGACGGCGCTCCGCCCATGGGACCACTCGAATTTCAGGCCAAACGCTGGAGACGGATTAAGGTTCACCAAGAGGATGATGAGTATCTAGCAGAGATAAGTTGACAACCTGGACAAGTTCTCATCCACACGTCTGAAGAAGATCAGCAAGGTCGCAGATCTGTTCGTTCTGGATGACCGAGAAATATTGTACAGACTTCCACACTCTGTTCGCGGAAGACCACGAGACGCCGCGGATAATCTGAGACTGGTAGTCCCGAGTTCGCTTCGGGAAGACATGTTGCACTATACGCATGAAGATTCTCAAGGTGGACATCAAGGGATCACCCGGACTCAGGAGAAGTCACGTACCGAATTCTACTGGCCCGGCATGTATGCGGACGTCCAATATTTTGTGAAGGAATGTGTGGACTGTGCCAGTGGAAAAGGAGCTCCCCCGAATGCTGGACCTTCGCCAGGAAATATTGAACCACGGCGTCCTTTCGAGGCAGTTTCTATGGATTTCGTGACTCATATGCCCGAGTCAGCCAGAGGGAATACTTTCCTCTTGTTGTTTCAAGACATGTTTCAGGATATGTGATGTGTAAACCCATTTCATTTGACTACCCCTCAAGATGTTGCTAAGGTTTATGAGAAATAAGTGTTCCAGAGATTCGGGGCGTCCTCCATGATACGGCATGATCAGGATCCGCGGTTCATGAGTGAAGTGTTTACAAGGTTCCGAGAACTCTTAGGTAGCCGACAACGTGCTACACTCGAATACCGTCCACAGGCGAATGGACAACAGGAGAGATCAGTACAAGCGGTCATTCGAAGTTTTCGAGCATACGTCGCCGAGATGGATCAGTCCGACTGGGATGGCCATGATGAGCGACTGATGTTCGCCCTGAATGTTTTGTTCGACGCGACTAGACTGGACACCCCTTTCTATTTAGTTCATGGTTGGGATGCCCGCAGTACGGTTTCAGCAATGTTGGGTCGGTTTCGGCAATGTTGGGACCAAAACCTTCAACCGTTCCTGAACGTAGCGCATATGAGTGGCGCACTCGCTTGCGCCGAGGACCTCCAGATGAAGGCTAAGAAGATACGCTCGGACGAACAAACCCGAAAGTGGTTGTAACCCTCCGATAGGGTCAAAGCTGGTTTTGAGAAGGGGGACTCCGTCTGGTTGTCCATCCCGAAGGTTCAGACTGGATTGAGCCGGAAGCTAGCACACATGTGGCACGGGCCATTCAGGATCGACGAAATTCGGGATGACTTCCATGTGAGATTGAAGGTGAAAGATATAGGTTATCATGTTAACCCTTGGGTACATATTAGCCGACTCAAGCCGAGAGTAGTTTTCCCAAAGAGACCGACGGTCGAGGTTGACGTCGCAGATGGTGATGATTTGAATGCGGCGCTATTGCCCGAAGACAGTTGGGAACCTGATAGCTCGAATGACGTGTTTGAAGTGGAGTCAATTCAGGATGTACGATGGGTGAAACGCACCCGAACTGCGAGGCGATCTCGAGAATACCTCGTCAAATGGAAGGGGTACGATGACCCAGAGTGGGTTCCGGTGACACAGCTCAATTGTGGATCACTATTGTATGAATTCAACAAAGGAACGCGAGCACGAGCTCGATTTCAGGCGATGCAGGCTGGGGATGACCACCCGAGAGTGTAGTCAACCCGAATGACATTACCTGAACGACGTTAGACGGTGGAACTATGTGAACCGATTATGATTTTGTTTGATTTCTGATGAAATATTGTGGAGATATTCAGGATGCTGACTGTGGAATTTACTTGGCGACTAAGAGTGTTGCAGTGGATGCGAAAATGGTGTGAAAGGCATCGAATGTGGTACGATGGATAAGAAGGACAGTGAACTTTGAGGGTGTGTATGACAGCTGTATTCTGGATGTTAACGCTAGTGCTCTGAAATGCAACATGTAAAATGATTCTGGAAGAGTTAATTTGTCGAAATCCATGGTGACGCGGTTCTTCTGCGACGAGCACTGCGAACCTTTCAGGAGTTTCAATGGATAGTCCTCCGGGAGATGCCTGATTCGGGCTTCATCCGAGGCGCAAGTGTTCCACTGGACACGTGCTGGCTCTTGGTCATCCAACAGCTCCATCTGCTCATTCAGGGTGTAGCGAGTGTCGTCGTCTTTGACGTGCGACTCATGCATCAATATCCAGTGGCAGCATTTGGCAGGGATGATACAAGAACCAGGTTCATCCAGAATTGTTTCCTCAAGGCCGGCATCGACACGATCATCCAGGGGTTTCTTGTATTCTTTCTTGGCTTTGTCGCACTCGGCCTTGCGTTCGCGGTGAAGTTCTACAGAGTAAGGATCGTCGGTCTCCAAATCGATGAATACCCAGTGCCCGAATCACCAAATCGCACGACGATGTCCAGACATGAATGCCACTATGGCATCCAGAGACTAGCGAGCAACGACCTTCAGGTTGTCCCGCACGTGAAGGATCAGAAACTTGGAGCGATCTTCAAACATGACGTCCCAAGGTTTCGTATCCATAAGCTCCTGGAACGCGACTGGATCCCAGCGTTCTCGTAGGGCCTGAACATTTTCGTCCTTTGGCCAAATTTGGAGCGTAATCTTGGAATCCGAATGACTGTGTTACTGCATTAGCCGTGCCAGGAGGAAATTTCATTAGAACTCCGTGATGACGCCACGAGAGGATACCTTGGTACATTTTAGATTTCACTGCTGGCAGGTACGGATTCTACGACTTTGTAGATTTGTCGCCTCGCATCTACTGTTTTGTGGCTAATACTAATGCTATGTTAAACTTTGTTCGCATGTTAATATTGTATTTCCAGGGTTATGGACGATAGCATCACAAGTCTTGGCACTACTTGTGAAAAACTTGTGAATTTTACGCTGCTTTCAGCTGGGAATCCTATCTAGTAACTGTAGCAACTTGGATCTTGGACGAGGTTTACGAGTGAGGTCAGAGTGTCGCAATTGAGCCGTTTTGCAGGTGGTGATTGTTGTGGTCTTCAGATGTCGTGTAGCCTTTAGATCCATAGAGTTTGCAGCCTGTATGGCACGGTCAGCCGGTGGTGTAGGGGAAACACCAGACTGGAATGCCATGTGCGATCGATATTCAGCTGGGATAGTAATTTGTGGTTCGATGCATTGGCATCCATCTCAGTCTCGCCGTATTTGACGTACTTTGTCGATGAGGAGTAGAGCAGTCCGGCACCGCCGGTCTGCGCATGCAAGTATGAAAGAGCAATAGCTAACTCGGCAGCGTAGAAGCGAGCGCGTTCTACCGTAAAACGCCGTCCACTGCTCGTCGACACATTCGGATCCGGCGCGTTTCTTGGGTGGCGATGACGCACGCTTGGGTTTGCTATTGGATGACGAATCCGAAGTGGTGTCACGACCACGCTTCGCCTGCCGGGGAGGAGTAGTACGACGCTGAGTTTTGTTCTGACTATCGTCGCCTGGGGAGAAGATCGCATCGCGCCCTTCATCTTCTTCCTCTTCCGTGACACTGTTGTATAGCGCTGCCATAATTTTCAAAGCGTCATCCTGGATGGCCTTGCGCAAATTAGGCCAACGAGTGGGAACTTCACCTGAAGTGAGAGCCTTGGAAAGCTTGAACTCAGCCTCCTTGTAACACCAACATGGAACGTACTTGACCCAAGGAGTCTTATCCAGACTTTTCCAGTAGATGATGCGATGCGTACCAACATGGAGATGAGATGTCGAGCATCCAGGTGCGAGTAAATCTCAGCATCGGCCCGAGCCGCAGCGAGAGCCTCATCGTAAGACATGTGCGACCGCATGAGTTTCTGGATATCCGCACGAAGCTTGTCCCAAATGACGGGTTGAGTCAAGCCCTCACGAGCCTTGGTGACAGAGAGCTGTTTGGCTGTCGTGGGATCCAGGGTGTCGGTCGTGTTCGGGGCGTATATACTGGGTCGAAGCTGAAAATCCGTGAGAGCCTTGGGCTTAAACCCACTGAACAACTTGCGTTGAATCTTGGCCGGGGTAGACTCAGTAGAGGGTGGTCCCGTAAGGTCCACCGTGGAAATTTTCAGGGTGACCTGAGACTTGGGTACATCAGGAACCTTGGACTCCTCATCGTCACTCTCCACCTCGTATTCGTAAGCGCCCGGGTCGGCATCGAATTCGTCAGCCGCATTGATCTGGATTTGTGTCTTCCAACGTCTGGTGGAAGTGAACCATCTTTGAACTTTTCCAACAGTGCTTTCAGGCGCGGCCAATTGCCGCTGACCCGGGCGTTGTGACGATTCAGGAAGTTCATCACACGATCGACTTTGAACGTACCACCGCGTAGTCGATCCTCAAGTTGTCGTTTGACCCAGCGATAATCCTCAAGTTGACGTTGTAATTCGGCAATCTCATCCAGAAGCACCTGTTCTTGGCGGCCGTGCTCTTCCGCGGCCCGTTGAAAATCACGGTCATTTTCGGAGAGCCGACTCTGAGCCTGCTCCAAAATTTCAGCCACTTGTTGGTTGAAAGCCCTTTCGAGGAGCGCGAAGTCTCGACGCGCGCTGCGAGCATCGTCCGAAGAATTACCTCGAGCGTGGTCTTGGAGGTACCCAGAGTGCAGGCAACCTGATAGACACGGTGCCGGTCCAACACGTGTGGTCATCCCGAATACTTTGCGAGCTAAATTTGAGGCTCATACACCCGCAAGAGCGCCGCCAATTCGCGTTGTGCTGGAATTCCTGTAACCTAATTTCGGAAGTCACTTGGGCTGAGCTCCACCGATGCATCCCGAGGTGCCAACAGCTCTCGCTGAATGTATTGGTCCTCGCTAAGCAACTTCGACAAGTCGGCCCTGTCCTGGTCGCTCAAGTGTTCGATTTCGACGAGATTCTCGAGACCGCCATAGCCGGCACGTAAGAGCACAGTACCCAGACGGTCGACGTCGAAGGCTGGCACACCGACGAATTGTGTGGTGGAGCAAGGTGAATAGCTTGGAGGCGATGTAATTTGAATGGGAGGAACTTGACCAGCCACCGAAGGAGCAACAGCAACGACAGAACGAGCCTTGGTGTCAGCCGCATCTAACTCCGTGAGAAATGTGGGCTTGGCTAGCCACGTCGACAACAGGTTCTGCGCAGCATTGTGCGCATTAAAATCGTCGGCTGCAGAGATGCTAGGACGATCCGAGCCAGAAGTGGACCCATGCAATAGGTCCACCACTTGAAGACGCTTAACAGGCGCGCCGCTGTCTTGAGCCGTCTCACTGCGTTCTTGAGCCGTCTCACCGCGCGGACTGACAGGCGTATCCATCACGGGCGCGTCAGTCGCCGGAGGGTCGTCGCGTGATGCGTCACCACCTGGTGCGCTAATCCGAGAAGGCCGGTGTAGTTGTGGGACGTCTCCTGGTGGTGTGCTCGCCGGCGTATGAGCAGGCGAAGGCGATTGCGGGAGCTTGGAGTCTGTGTGTGAAGGCATTTTGCCGTATGTCTGGAGTTTCGGTTGCGTTATTGACAGAGGCTTCCAGAACGAATAAGATACGACAGTAGGAATTTCTTGGGTATTGCGGGGACGAAGAAATGTCTCGAACTTTGGCAGTCTTTTG